TCGTAAATATTTTTTGAAAACATTCCAAATCGTTAGTTCGTGGCCGGAAGCAAAGATTATTATGAAAATAAATTTGGAATTATTCATCTACTTTAGATATCTATGATTTTGGACAAATTGAGAACATGAAAATGACTTAAAATACTGATCACGAGTCTAAGACTTTGTGTAGAGATCTCCCTGACATTCAAGGCTATAACTGATTTATATCTATATACATAAATGTTCTCGTAGCACATAATTATTAATATGTATAAAGACACTCACATTTAGCTTGGATGATTGACAAAATAGTACAAAGATGCGTTAATTTTTTAAGCTGAAGAACTCTCTAAATGACGTTTCCAAACAATGCAACCTGGATGAATAAAGATAATGTACAATGCAACCTGGAGGCATGATAATACAACATGCAACCGGGGACAACAAACGAGATCATTTTCGTAGAATCTGTCCTTCGAAATTTAATCAGCCATGAATGTTTTAGTGATCGCGAGTGAAAGCTGTCTTTATAATGCTGATATTATAATGAGGACGCAAGGGGAGGGGATGGGGTGGTGGTTAGCAGTATTGTTATACAACTGCTTTAATTAGGATAGTAAATATCAAAGCATATTCATTCAAGTTGTGCACAGGCTGGAAACAATTGAATAAGATCTTTATAATTGCGTATCAATCGCGGGATCAATCGCTATAGCCTTTTTTGCCTTTACACACTCCCCCATTTCAACTGCTCCAGACGACTTATGGCACTGGTCGCTGGCGTAGATAGCAACGCATCGCGTCACTACGGAGAAGCCGGCGGGCTCGGCTGGCGAAAAACACCACCGGTATATCGTGCCAATTATTTCTACTCTCGCATAATGTGCGCTCTTATAACGGCGCGCTGCAGCACCACTCATCACTTTCATTAGTTTTTTCAGCCGGTAAATGAAAGAGCGAGAGATCCATTTTAAGACAATGTAGTCGCATCAGCAGCGCTCAGTGTAAACAACCGTTACTTTAAGAGGTATGCAAATAGTGGATAGTGTTATAGTGGTTTATATATTGTGTGCTGTTAATGGAAGTATCATTTGCCTTTGGACCCATCAACTATGGATGTTTACACGAAAGTCCAAAGCTTGTCACTTTTTTCAAAGGACGTTTTTGCCAGACACAAGGTTTCTAAAATCCACATCGCTGATTGGAGCTAAACAGTTATTCTACTGTTTCTTTTCTGCTTTTTGCACGACATCGAATATATCTAACCCGTCACATAGATACTGAGATAAAGTCAAGTGGATTTATCGCATGGAGACGGACATAATCATGCCAGCGTTTCAGGAATACCCATTTTCGCCTGATCTATAAAGGATACTCTGGTTTACTGAACTGACCACTATTAAGTGAAAAGTAAGTGTTGGATATCAGTATGGAGCTACGTACACATTGGTAATAAAACAATCTACATGCCGATCTATTTTTCCTTTAGTCTAGAATTTGTTCGACGATGGAGACAGAATGCTAGATGCTTATATTCTAAAGGTGTACCTTTTCTATACCTAATTAGGAGCTGGTTTATAACTAAATTGACTGGAAGTTATATGAAATGGATGTAGTAATTTGATTGTGTTCCATGTAACTACATGATAGAAGTAGAGATGTTATGGTTTAGTGGACAGGTCACCGGACTGTGGATCGTAGAAGTTCGAATCCCTGCCACATCACTATAACGTCCTTTGGCAAGCCATTAATCCACATTTGCCACATTCAACCCAGGTGTGGTTAATGGGTAACTGGTTGACTTGTCATGTAAATATGATATAATGCGTACAGTGCCGAATAAGATTACCACTTGAATGAAGTGATAATCTGTTTCAAGTTGAAAAAAGAGCAATGTACTAACTGTGGTTCGGCTGACATATATTTCATGGACATGTTTGTGGTATAACTATCATGATTATGTAAATAGTCGATAATGATATTGATGGTTAGTTGACAATGAACTCAGAGGTGATTTTGTGTCACACAATCTTGAAATAATCTAATTAATATCTGTAGTAATATTTCGTTGGTGACGTCTTTATTACATACTTCTGTGTATTCATCGTAAACCATTAACATGTTGGTATAATAATTGACCATTTTAATGAGTATGTGAATGTTAAATCTCACGGCTTATTCAAAATGATGTACGTTCACCTCTATAATTGAATTAAAAAAAGACAACTTAATCTGATAACCGGGACTGACTGGTGAGCATTCAATAGATTTAATACTGGTCAATTGCTCAATTTCTACTTGAGTTTTATTATAAATTAAAGCGCTTGCCGATGCCTGGTCTTATTCACTTGATGGTAATTACTTTAACAAGTATTTTTCTTGTAAGCATTTATCGTAATTACGAAGAGATCGTGATTGTTGACAAAAAGGAAGAAGATTTTAGAGCATCAAGTATCACCAACACCTCTTGTTGCGTGTAATTACCATAAAATACTCCATTTTCAGCTTATAAGAATATGGGACGAACCTGGGAAATCTATCGTTCGATGATATACATTCTTTAACAAATAGTGAATAGTTATCGATTGGTCGGAAATAAAACTTTAGACGTTCAGTTTGATGGACATTACTATAAAGGCGTTTAGGTTCACAATCTTGACATCATATTTCTGATAATTTAGCATTTACTTTAACATGACTTACCTTTCATTTATCCCATTTTGATAACATCTTTAATCTATGTATTTAACTAGCTCAGAATACAATGCAACGTTTCCATCCAGCGGTTACTTCTGTCCTCGCTATTTTGATCTAGCAATACTGAATTTATCTCCCACCCCTCCCCAACGCTAAAATATCCTATATCAAGCAGGTTGTTTGAAGCTTCTACTCATATTCATTATTGTAATTGCACCGTGACGATACGTTCGTTAAATTTTCATTTGAAATCCTTTTGTTGCAGCGAATCAAGGACATCAAGCAATTTCCTTTCTGTCATGCTTCTGTTATCAAAATAGAATCATGACTGAACAGAAATAGTATAATTATGTAAATAATTTATATAATACTGTGCATGTAAACTAACAAATTATACTTGCATTAACAAAGCCTCATTATTATTGAACTAGCTAGAATAGTGATGCGATAATAAGTTTGTATTGGTTTGTTTGTAAGTCGTTCTTGCATGAGAAGTTCTTATGGGTGTATTTGATAGAAATGCCAGTAGGGAAGCAAGCCCAGCAATATATATTAATCGTGTCAATTATTGACTTCACTGATCATGATGGTATGGTAATGAATTCATGTTATAAAAGCATAATGCAGGTCACACCATTGCTTTAATCTTTTAAGGTTTTGATATATTCTGATTGTTGGAAATATTGGCGTGATCGTCTTACAAGCAAGGTTACTCAACAAAATAATAAATTAAATGCGGAATTATGAATATGTCAAGAAGCATAATAGGCGACTGTCCCCTTTCCTATTTTTTTTGCAGAGCACATGTATGTATACACTCACACATTTGACCCACCCACACCCACACACACACGCGCACACCCACATACACACACACACGCACACCCGCGCGCGCACACAAACACACACACAAAAAAACACAATGGTGATATTAATACACATACATACATTTATATACCCATACTCACAAACACATGCATATACATAGAATGTTTAGCTTCTCTAGAGACATTGTTTGTGAGTGAAGAGTAAGACATTCATTTCCTATCAGATTTATAAACAATACTTCAAGATACATATTATGTTCTATTCCACCTGAGTCAATATATTTCAATTTAGTACAGTATAAAATAACGGTCATAATGTTAATAAAAAACTAATTTGCTCCACCTTCAAATTCGAGAGGAGGGGAATTTTGAAAGCGTAGATCAAAATGATCATGGAAGCAATAAGTGGTATACGATACAATTTATGAAGAAGTTATTTGAATTGACCTATTTGCCAACGACAAATAAAATGAGTATTAACAGTTCCTTTCTTCCAAGTGATAATTGCAACACGGAATCGTGAAATTTGGAAAGGGGATATTTTTTTCTTTTTAAGATTCTAATGCTCACAAATAATTTGCAGTTCTCCTTGAATGGCGTTGCAAAATCATGACCTAAGTGAGAACTGGTGTCGACTGCACACATTCATAACCTTTCATATTTCCTTCTAATATCTTTATTCGTAATCGTTTAAAAAACTTTTCTGCCTCCCCTTATTGATCTACCTGAGCTATGAGGGGCCGATTTCCCGTTTAAAATATTCCTCCCCAAATGTTTAATATGGATTCATGCTCATTAGGCTACAGTCTAAGTCTCCAGATTTATCTAACTTGCCTTAACTTACCTTAAGGAAAAGGGAAAGAGAAACGGAAAACGAACAAAGGAAAAAAGGGTAAGAAAGACATAAAGAAAGAAAAACAAACGTCCCTCGCATATAAACTATGAGCATAATCGGTGCACAGTAAGTTTTGCGACATTGAAATATAATACCAACATTATACAGAATGTCAATAAATCAAAGAAGTCTAAACCTGATACATTCATTGGCTCGCGAAATATCAAGTATCTAAAATGGGAACCATTATCTTGAATAATGAAACCGATTTTTAGCATTATTCACTTTCATCTTGAAAGCAATAGTAATTAAAACGTGATGAAGATAAAACTTGAACATGTGATTGTGTAGGGAATGTTACAATGGACATTAATGTTTTTCTAAATTTCTTATCAATACCACATGTAGTTTCCAAAGATGGACATGAAATTGATCTAGGGAAACTCAAAATGTCGCATTTAAGTCGTATATGGAATCGGTTTAGGACCAATAATTCGTCGCTGTTTTCACGAAGTGACGGTAGTGAAAAAAAATTGCATTCACTTTGCGTTACGATTTTCCTCACTACCGTCACTTCGTGAAAACAAGGACGAATTATAGTACTGATTTTCAGGACGAGTTTGAACATAACATTCTTACTTTGTTTATCTTCCTTCCAGGTCACCTGCAGCGAATAAAACTTGCTACGTATTTGATTTAGACAGACAAAAGGACATTGTGGGATCTGAATCCTAAAAGCACGAAAGATCAGCCTTATCGAGTATTTCTTTGCAAAAAATCATTCAGCACGTTTCGATGATTTTCCGAAGGACAAGGGAAGATAGCAAAGGAAATACTTCTCTCTGTTAATTTGCCCCCAAAATATTCTTCTTTTCTGGTGAGTCACCCATACACTCGCATCATATTGGCTTTACTGGGGATATTCAAATACGCCGCACAGAGCAGTTTACTGGCAGTTTACCGTGCTAGTCGATTCGAACATCTTTAGCAGCCGCCACCATCTTGCTTCGTTCGCTTCTGGAAAATTAATCTTGGAACTTGGCGACGGTGGTATGTCACTATGGAAATAATCGGAGGATAAATCTTCGGCTCTGTGAAGGGAACCACTCCATAGCTCAAGATGTCTCCAATTATGTCGCTATCCGTTTTCGAAATTAACAGACGATACCAAATACCGTTAATGGCATAATGTAATGAGCTGGATATGGGAATCTAATTGACTAAAAGGATCAATTACGGAACTACTTTAGCAGACATCGGTTCTTGAAAAGTCATCATGTTCACTTCGAATTCATGACAAACCTTTTTCGGCCAGCATACTCGTAACCGAAGTTCGTGATCATCAACCTCGTCGTTCACATTGTATTGTAGTAGTCGTACGGTCACTCGATCACGATGGGTCTTCTAAAGAAACGCTCGAGCAGCGGTTCGACACAGCCGATGGTGAGGAGCGTATCGCCCGACATCGAGCTCAGCACCGTGATGGACACGGAACTCGTTGCTAAGGCGTACGGCAAGCGTGACACGGAAGGGAAGAAACCACGAACCCGACGATACAACCCCTTCCACCGCGCCTTTGATTCTAGTGACATGGAAACATCGTATCAGAAATTCTTCGTCCGCCGTCGCCTGGAGACGCTCCCCGTCATGATCGCCTTCTCTTTCTTCTTCGACGTTGTCGTATTAATCATCTACTATCTTGATCGCGCAATCCCTAGCCGCGTCATCGCTATCTCCATCATGGCGATCTGTGCCGTCACCAACTTGATTCTGTTCTCCTTATCGCGCTATCGCCTCATCTCGGACTGGTCGCTTACGCGCGTCATGCCATACCTTATATGGAGTCTGGTATGCGCGCAGTCCTTCGTGGACTTGGGTCTATATTATCAGCCGCTGATGCCGAGTGATGGGGCTGGCTGGCAAGTGTTTTTCATATTTGCCTCTTTCACCATGTTACCTGTGCCTTTAGGAGCCATGATCCTCCTCAGTACTTTTGCCATCACCGTACATTGCCTCATGGTCGGGTTGCTCTCCTTGGCTAACAAAGAATACATGGCTGAACAGGTAAGCACATTCCATCTGCTTAGAGAGTTTGTGATAGTGATATGACTTTGAGATTCTTCTTTCTCTAAGCAGACAACATGTTTCGAAATTTACATTTTGTCATGCAGGGGGAGGGGGGGGGGCGTATTAATCGGCGGAAGCTTTTTCTTGTAGTCCATGCCCCTCCTTTGCAAAATTTAATCAGAACTTACCTCCTTCCAATAACCAGAACAATTGCTTTAATATGTGGAGTTTGTCCAATGTGTTATTAGATAAGCTTGCCTTGTACTTCCCTCGTTTGACCTACGTACACTGTTGTCTTGAAATTTTGAATAATTTTCCTTACCTCTTTTTATGAAGTGATTTCGACAGTATTGTTCATCATTGATAGATACAGTCTTATATCTTCTCATAACTTTATTGGATTGAGTTAGAGGAGTTGATCAATAAAGTTGTTAGAAGATTTAAACTTTATATATAAAGAAAAAACCATATTGTCGCAATGGCAATTGAGAAAAGAGGTGAACAAAAATTAATCAAACTTTTATGGACAACAGTGTAGTCCATGGAGACACACTTTTGAAGAGTAATCCATTAAAGGTTAAGTGCCACCCCTTTCTGTGAGAGGTGCCAATAAGTTATTTTGTGAGACCATCGAGCTCACACCGTTCGACGGACATCAATAATGGTTTCTTATCCGTCATCCAGTAACTCTCTTGAAGGTTAGACATTATTACCCTGGTTTTAGCCAGCTTCCAAAGTAACTAGCACTCAAGCATAAAAGGTACCCATTTACAACTGGGTAAAGAATGGCAAATGTAGATTAACGTATCGCTAAATGACGTTAGTGCAGGGCTGGGATAAAGTTTTTTTTCTTCTGAAAATAGATTTTAAAGGACCTCAGATCAAATGAAAATCTAAAGAAATAGAACCATCCTGGGAATATTATATTTTAAAAAGAGACTGGAAGCAAGCCTCTTAAAGATAAGCTTGAGTTCTGATAATCACAGCATCCAACAAAACGTACACTGAATGTTCAAGATTACAAATAAATGACATGCGCCAAACGATTTTGGTAGAAAATGTAGAGGGGCTAAGTAATGAGCATAGAAAGATAAGGAAAACAAGGCAGGTATAGGCCCGACACCATGTGCTTAAAGTGACTCGGTAACATTGTTGAAGGTTGATGAAAAAAGTTGCTTAATTTTTGTATGAAATGTTACTTACTATATTCCTTCGACTATATTAACCCTCTGACATGCAAAAAATCCTGAAAAAATTCTCAAACCACAAAGATATCTATGGTTTTCTTTGAAGGCGTCGATGGGAGGCACCCTCTAACAGTGATTAACAGTAAATTCTCCCAACCAATTTTTGAATTTTCCCAACCGTTTTTCCATGAGAAAAATACATAAAACAGGCTATAAAAATCTGTCTGGAATGGAATGTAGAGCCATTTTATTGCTTTGTGACGATTTACATTCACCTAAAATGTAATTAAATTGTCCTTGTCTTGATGCTGAACAGGCTTTGACAAGTAGCAGAATAGAAGTAGAATAATATAGTTGGGAGAATTAAGGAATCGATCAGAACAGTTTTTCCCAATTTGTACCATGAATAATGATCCGTTTTCACTCAAATTTTCAGATTATCTTTAATTGTTCATCTAGCATTGAAGTCACTACCTTAGCACCACTATCTCTCATCTGAACAATGTTACAAAGTCCCTTTAACACAGGTCATGAAAGTTGTGGTTTTTATTGCAGATGATTTCCAGCAAGTTTTTGTGAGTTTGTTTTTATTGTACTGGTTCAAATAATCAATCTACCGCAGGTTAAATAATCCGGAATGAATTATAGCCATGTTCTCTCGACATACGATTCCCATACGATTCCCATACCAGAGCTCAAGATTAACTTTAACCTCAAATAATCATTTACACTTATTTTGTTACTACAATACACCATTCTTTACCTTCTACTCCACTCCTGTCTATTTTAAAAAAAACACTAATGTGCAACAGGTGAACATGAAGAATCAGGTAAACAGAAAGGCTAGTCATCCTACCTGTTTTAAATTTCGCTTTAACGAGAGCCGCAGTAAGGGAAACGATGTCACAGAACATGCGATATGGTGTCATCGATACTGCAAAGACTATGTTCCCATGGAAACGGCACGCGAACTGCTGCTACCTTTTGCATCGCCACATCGTTCACCTCGTTCTGTTGGAGGCACACGTCCCTTAACATTTCCCTTTTGCTCTCGGTAATACGTCTAATCCACCTCTCTCTCTTTCTCTTTCTCTTTTTCTCTCTCTCCCTCTCTCTCTCCCTCTCCCTCTCTTTCTCTCTCTCTCTCTCCCTCTCTCACTCTATCTGTCTCTCGTCTACTCTCTCCTCTCGTTCTCCTTGTCACCATGAACCCCGTAGTGTATATTCATGACTCTACTATGAAAAACCATTAAGTGTTATATATTGCCATGTCAGGTCTAAAAAAGAAAAGCAAGTTGTATTGCCCTTTACAGTTGTAGGTGCTTAAACATGGGTCGGTCGGTCGGAAATCTTGTTTACCTCTTTTTCCTACTTTTTTCTCCCTCTTTGGGTTGATATTTCTAAGTTTTGAATGCTTCGATATATTTTTTCTTTAAAAAAACGGTAATTTTTTTTAAGCCGACCGTAGATTTCAAGTTTGTTGTTATCGGTCTCAAAGGGCAATACAACATCTTTCATTTTTAGGCCTCAGGTATGTGACTTTTCCATCTAACAGCTTTCGTGTTCTTTCCGTCTTTTCACGTTCCAAGTCCTCACCCTTTCTCACTCTCTTCCCCTATATGTCTACCTCTCAGTCTCTTTCCCATTATTTCTCCGTGTCCATCTCTTTCTGGTAAACCCTCTCTCTCTCTCTCTCTTCCACCATGGACCTCATAGTTTATTCACGAGACCGTGACTTCGATAATTTATGAATAAATTGTTTCGTCATTCATGCGAATATTTCCTAAGCCCATGCCGTGTTTTATGTCTGTCACTTTATCCCCCGACCTTCTTTCCTTTTCCATCCTCTTTCTCTTTCCCTATTTCCTCTCTCACACATGAACATACGCACACATACACAAACACGCACAATTCTACCCCCTCTTTCCCTTTCTTTCTTCCTCTTTCTCTCATTTCTCTCTCCCTCTCTCCGATATCTCTCCCCACCTCTCTCTGTTCATGATCTAGTATGTAATAAGCTCCACCAGCAAAAGCCTCGTAAACAGTCGGCCGCCATGATTAGAGCTCGCATCGAATACCAAAAATATAGGCACAAAAAATGGAACACAGGATAGGTTGCATTGATTTATGGATATTGGGCTCAAGTACACCAAACGTGTTAAATCATTGCAGCGCACGTCTGGCAAGGTATCACTTACTCCCTTAGCTTTATCATGTATGTATTCGGAGAAGACAAGAATTATGATCAAGAAGAGAATTTTGAGCCGGTAATACAATCGCTAAAACAAACGGGGCACTTCGACGAAGGCTGTTTGGAATCGCGTCGCCGTTAAGTGTTCTGCTTCAAGGTATGAATGCGAATTGGTTAAAATTTGTTGTGAGATAGTATATTGGACGGTGGTTATTATTAGAACACCAGGCAAAGCCCAATACAAGTTTGCTAGTCTGAACTTTGGAGAACGCGAAGTGGATTTATGCTGAGTATACGCTCAAAACTTTAGTGTATTGAAAATATTCGACTGGCATTTACATTGATTTTCCTTCAGGAGAATACTACAGCTAACGAGTTAGGTTTCTGATCAAACCATTTATATTTTAAAGGCAAATTGTGTTAATAAAAATGAAAAAAACAAAACCCTAGAAGTTCCTAAAATAGAAAATCGGATACCAGCATGTTTTTTCTGACTGAGCTCCCCCCCCCCCCCACCCACACAAAAAGCGGGGGAGGAGAGTTGGCAGTGGCATATCGAACAATTGATTAACGAGATAGAAATGTTTGCAGGGCTTCAAGTTTGAGAATTAAGCATATAAAATGTTTCCATCTAATCATCATCATTGTCATCCAAAATCATCCTCTTAATGGATAATGCTTCATTGTTTGCTATCCCTAATGATGTAGAATAAACATCAAATTAGGCCTGCTCATGGAGGCGTACTGTGTTAAGTATACTTGTAAAGGTAGTTGCCTCATTTCTTAGACCTGGCTGCAAAAAAAAATTATGTAATACACCCATCACTACGTCATACATGACAAAAACACATTTTTGAACACGTTTTGCCTATCTCAAAGAACTAAATTGCACTAGCATTAATCTATCCCTCTGGTTCCCTCATTCCCTCGCTCTCTAGAATTTTCGACCAAACTTTTTTCTTTAAAGCCTCAGTAATGGTTTCTTTATAATGATCTTGGTCTACCGGGGATAATTATTCGTCCTTAAAATAATTACGAAAATGTCAACTGTAATTCCCGCGGCTATTCAATGTGGGAATAAAAATACTCGACTCATTATTAAGGATAGGTAATATATTCTAAGGATATTGGAACATATTGTTAGCTCAGTAGATGAACAGATAAAAGTTAAAGAGTTTAAAATAGAAGAATGTCAAGTGCTCTATTTTGTGTAGAATAGGCATTAAGATTCTTCAAAACATTGTACTTTTAAAAGTAGAAAACGATCGCATTTCCCGCATTAATCTCTTCATAGTTCAGTGAGAAATTGTACATGCATATTTTTGTCATGTTTATTACCTTTTTTGAGAATACTCCAAATATGTACAGTTGATTTGATTGATTTGATTTATTTTATTGTCCAGATAAATGGATTTCTTTTACATGGTTCCAAAGTATAGGCCTATACATCAAGCATAAATCATTTGAACACACTTCAAATTACACATTACTTATTAATCACCGAGTAAGTCATATTAATAATTTAAACTTAATCTTTATAGAATCAACACTAAACTCAAAAACAATAAATCATATACTTTTAAATTTAACTATATGATCACACGATCTCATTAATGACTATATATTTAATTTCAATATTCATATATAAATAATATTAATCACTTTAAATATTATAATATACTTTATATCAAAATACAGTTACGGTATCGCCCCCCCCCCCCCCTCCCCTTACATCACAAGGTGAATGAGATCTGGGGCATTAGCAGGTCTGAGAAAATTATTAAAACAAATATTTCAATATCTACGAAGTATATTTAGATGTTTGAATAACAAAATATGAGTTGTATGTAGCCCTGCACATCAACAGGAATCAACTTATATTTGGATGTCACCCGACCTTTAATGGAGCATTTTCCCCTATTTTCAGAAAGTAAATTGCGCGGTTATTATTCCATTCCTTATTCCCTCGCTCTCAAGAATTTTTGACTAAGCTGTTTTCTATATGGCCTCATTAACGGTTTCTCCACGTTGATTCCGGTCTACTGGGGAGAATTATATTTCCTGATAATAATTACGATAATATCAACTGTAATTCCCGTGGTTATTCAACGTGGGTATAGAGTATACTCGACACACCATTAAGGATAAGTAATAATTTTATTGCAAGGATATTTCTTGTTCTTTCAGTGAAAGACATTATTCAGTCATTCGCAAACAAAGCCACTCAATGAATTCGCTAAAAATATATTAAAATGATGCTATTTATATCTCTTCCATACCCTCCCGAATAAAATATTTAAAAACTAGTTTGAACAGAAAATTAGGAAAACTGCAATCATGTGGCCGAGCGGATAATTTCTTAAAAATGAATAACTGGCTGGCTTCCTTCTTGTGGCGGTCACGAAATGGTTAACTTGCCCCCTGATTGGTCGGGGAAATGGGGAATTGTTTGGTCAGTAACGTGATTTTGGCATGCATGATTCTACCGCCCTGGGATTTTAATATTTTTCATCTCATTCTCCCCAATTCAAGCAGAATTTGATACGACTGTGTACTTCTCGACCTAATATTGCACACAGGTCTCCCCCCCTTTTTTATTGTTTTTCTTTCTTTTTCTTCTCGGTGTTGTGCGAAGGGAGTGTTGATCGACTACACGTCCGATCACGTCGAAAAGTCACGCGATGTCGACAGATTTTTATTCGACAATCGTATCACTAATTTTTTCCTCATACCTCGTCTCTTCCCTCTTCTCTTTCATACAAACCGCAGTAAACCGGCGCGATTTACCGCGGCATATAATTATGTGAACGCGCCTTCGTTTTTCCCGTTTTCTAGCAGCATCAGACGATTTCTTTATTCACTCTACAGTGAATATACAAATTCAATACCTTGATTATTTTTCTGTAAAAAAAAAATATTTAAAAAAAGTGTCATTCGCCATTTCTTGAATATGACATATCAAAGTAATGAACGCCATTGAGTTAACACGTCACTCCATTGCCTCTCCAAATCTGACTTAGATACTGCTAAGTTGAATAAATATCGGAAATTTCCAATCGTCATAATGAATCAAGCTATAAAAACACTCTTCCACCTTGTCCACTGTCCACGGAAAGCAAAGGAGCGGATGGAAATGTGATTCAAAGCCAAATCTATTCTTCATTTTTGTCGCTGATTTCCTTTTCGTTCATTTTCTCTCTCTCTCTCTCTCTCTCTCTCTCTCTCTCTCTCTCTCCCTCCCTCCCTCCCTCTCTCTTTCTGTCTCTCTCTTCCACTCTCTCTTTCTTTCGTTTTCTCTGTATTCATCACTATTCATCGTCTTTCAGTACTCAGGAAAGCAAATCCCCGGGTTGGGATCCGTTGACATTTAAGCAAACACTTTATCAAATTATGTTTCGCCCTGTAAGCAAATTGCCTACTCTAATCCAGCGAAAGTGCTGGAAATGACGATCTTTAACACATACGGTTATTTCTCTCTTTTCTTCCTTTTTTCTACTCTACTTAGATCGGAGCAAACATCTTATTGTATTTGTGTGCCATCATCTTGGGTTGTGTGTGTTACCTTGTATCCGATAAGCAGCATCGTATGGCTTTCCTGGAGACCAACGAGTCCCTCAAGACCAAGCTCACCATCCAGGAACAGGCCGCACAACAGGTGAGTACCGTATGACTGTGGTCTTTGAGAGAGTCTTCAAAGCCCTGTGTTGCCATTAAAGGCGCATCGGTCATAGGTGTGGTCTTCAAAGCTACTCATGACCTTTGGGTTGTACTGTATAGGGGGCACGGGTTCCACTGAAATCTTTATTAAGAGTTCTCTCTAAATTTGAAAGTCTTATTTTTAAATCTTAAAGTCTTACTTTTAAATCTAACAGAGACTGATATTAGTGACGAACCCTTTGGGATTTAAAATAAGTCTAAGCTAAGACTTGAAATTTTAAGTCCCTGAAAAGGTTTAAAATTTAAGTCAATTGGATTTATATTTCAAGTCTTTTAATATTTATTTTAAACCTTTCTTGGATTCATTTCAAAAATAAATCTAAGCTAAGACTTAAAATTTTAAGTCCCTGAAAGATTTAAAGTTTAAGTCAATTGTATTTATATTTCAAGTCTTTTAGATTTACTGGTCTAGCTAAGCCATTAGAACCATTTGGTAAAACTTCCAACCAATTGAACGGCAACAACACTTCAATACTGGTACGTCTGTATTATCAATGTAAAGGCATCGGTAATAAGTAGACTTATACATAATTTAATTAATCGAATTTTTTTTCATATACTTGTATTTTATTGAAATTATTTTAGTTCATAGTTAATGTTTCCCTTATTCATGTTTAATTAAATGGAATTCATACGAAGTAGCGAAATGTCCTAATAACTTGTAATTTATATTTGTAGTATTTTCGAAATGAATTGCATATACCTAAATCATCAGTAATTAAGAAATATGCTGTAAATTCAAAAAAATTGTTAAAAAAACATAGATCTGCACGCACCCCATATTCAATATGCAAATTAATTGGTGTCAGCTGGTTCAACTGGAAATATGCCAACAGTCAGTCATCAACAGGTGCAACTGGAAATATGCACATCTTATTGGCGAGAAGTTTAAGTCTTTCCAAGATTTATATCTAGAAGCTGGTTTCGATAAAACTTTTAGTCGAATTCCCAATTTATTAAGTCTTAAAGACTTGAAATATTTTAAGTCTCAAAATGGATTTAAAATTTAAGTCCTAGAAATTAAGAGAGTTCTTAAGGCCATGGTTTAACTGAAGTCTTTAAGAGTTCTGAAGGCTATGGGTTCCACTAAGGAGGAACCGGTTCCCCTATGGTCTTTAAAATTCTTCCAGGTCCTGCGTTGCACTACAAGCGCCGGTGCTGACCCGATATTTGCTCTGGTTCTTTAAAAATATATAGTTTATTCCACAAATGGTACGAATAGTCGCCCATCACTAGGCAAAATATTATTTATACTTGACAATATTTACTTTTAATCGAAATATCATCCTAAATGTTTATATTATTTTGGAAACAATAGGAAGGCTGTTGCTCTTTCCAATATCCTGTTATACAATCATTCTTCAGCATGACATAAAAATGACGAGATTTTACCCACTGTTTTGCGCCATGGCTGTCGCCTCACGGGTCGACGCCCGTTATGCTTTTACCACCTATCACTTGATGTCGCCCATATTGGAGTACTTCCCAGATGAAAGCATCCATCATCTGAACTAGGATTGCATGACTTGACACATTCATCAATTTGAGTGCAGTCATTAATAATTTGTTTAATTCAGTTCTATTTTATTTTCCAGCATGCTGGCATTCATCTTATTAGTTAGAGGTCCTGTAAAATCATTGATAAGCGTCGACTATGATGGGAAATTCCCATTTACTACTTTCCTGAAAATCAATTTGTTTTAATGATGCAAATTTGATATGGAAGTGTTAAAATGGAATTCTCATTAAAGTGATGTAGTTTTAAAACATTTTCATACGTAATATTGACTAAAACATTACTTCCTTGTTGGAAATGCTTGAAAGTGCTTGAAAATATGAAGATGAAAGCACCACGGCAAAAGTTCCATTTATCGACAAGTTCCGGGGGGGGGGGGTGGGTTCTCAGACTTGGCTGTGACCTTATCATGGAATGTCCATAACGATGCAGACTTACTTCGTGTCAGTCTGCATTCAGTCTGTAATTTTGTTCTAGCGATAATTTAACTCTGTTAACCCCCTCCCCCATTTCCTTTTGTGTTAGTGACCTACTGATACATTCTGAAAAATGGAGACCTCCCACTTTAATATATCGAATTCCAATGTTGTCTCGATGCAGGAGGGACTGTTGCTCTCTGTACTTCCCAAGCATGTTGCTGATGCCATGGTGATGGATGTTGGGAAGAAAAATACTGGTCAGTTCAATCGCATCTACATTAGACGGCACGAAAATGTCAGGTGAGTCTATTTTCTTCAATTTTAGTTTTAGGACAGGTTAAGGGCCGGGAGGGGGGGGGGGGGTGTTGTGGCAGGGGAGTGAATCAGTTTCTTCAGTAATTACCTTGAATAATATCTATGCGGATTCTCATGACCATGCAACTCTCAATCCTAATAATGTATGTATTCTAATTTGGAATTAAGCCTCTTATCTGCCCACGAAGTGCGAGAGAAAATGATATCAGGGTTTATTGTTGGCTTCGTGGAAGGATCAGGAGGATATAGAGGATAACTTCTTGACAGTTAGCCCACTTGCTACGGTAAACTACTTTGTACTTTTGAAGGTTGCAATTTATGATGTAGCGTTATAATGAGCAATTCGTGTATTCGATATAGGCCTATGTAAAAGAATTGCCGAAAGTTGGTACACCTTGTGTGAATCGAAGAGAGAGAGAGAGAGAGAGAGAGAGAGAGAGGAAGAGAGAGAGGGGAAGAGAGAGAAAGAGAGAGAAAGAGAGGAATAGAAAGAGAGATAATCTGCGTTGTCCTGGGGATGTCAATGTCAACACAAATCCAATTAAGGTATGGATGTATCCAATAAAATAAAGGTGCTTTGAAATGATATTTTATGTAATGCCATATCCAGGATGATGGCAGATTTTTTTAATTTTTTTTTTTAGTCTCATTGGCTGCCTGTGTGGGGCCTGTTGGCCTCAGATGCTAGAGCTTCTGTGAATAATGTGCTGACTGGGCTAGTCCCTTAAATTGTCAGTGAACGGAGCAGCTGGAGGGCACCGGGCCCCACCAGGCAGAGCTGAGGATTGAAATGGGTTATAATAAAATATCGCAAAAAATATTGCAAAGTTATTACTTTACTTGTATCAAAGAGAACTGTTGCTGAGCTAGCGCCATGAGCGTCCCTGGACGGTGTGTGCGCTCTATAAGTTTACACTATTATTATTATTATTATTATTCTTTCAATGGTCACTACTACCTTTAAAACAGTTCGAGGCTGGAAGAAATTAGAGAAACGATTTATTACACCCGATATGCCGTTCCGTAAATTGTTAGTCATCGCCGAGCGTGCATGATAATGTCGGCCTATTACGTTAACGGTGAATTTGATTCCTGGTATAAGGACAACACAATCCCAGATAATAAACCAGTGTTGATGTAGAAATTTAAGGCTATGATTTTGTATTTTCTGCCTTTCGAATTTCATTGAAAATATAACATTTCTGAGTAACAAGCAAAAACGACAGAGTATAGACGGATTTATATGGATATCAAGAACATATCTACCCATGTTAGTGTATTTCAGCTTTGACTGTGGGTTCACCAAGTTTTCATATCATAAAAGACACTGAACTGATGCAAACAACACAAATGAGTATCACCGGTTACGACATTACAGCGAATGTAGATGACTGAAAATTTAGTTTTTTTCATGTGAATAATTTATTGTTTGTGAAATAAACTGTTTAGAAGAAACTGGGTAAGGTTGATTACATAAGAATTAATGTAGGCCTATTCTGAAGTTTTTGAATGATAAAAATCAAAGAAACTTAACTCAGTCTTGCTGAAGATCACATGTACTGAACACATGAGACTACACATAAATGTTTGGTCCAAGCTCTTCATCTAGGCCTTTTTCTTATCATATTTCGAATACCAAGGCATTAGCAATCCTTGTAAGGAAGCATTTCTGTTGTGGTATTCTTCCTAATTGACAACAAATAATGAGACAGCTCACAATTTCTTCATTTTTTTCTTCATTTTTACCAGAACATAACCCTCTATTTCTTTCGATTTTTTCATCTCATTTAGTAGGAGGCATGTTTACCTTTAAGTTTGACATTCAAGAGGGAGTGAATTCATCGCCTCGCAGAGCGTTAAGTGACATTTCGCCACCGAAAAAATCTGACACGTATTTTGTCACTCGCAATGTGTGAGCGTGTTTCTTGAGAATCATCTCTTTAAAATACCAGTTACATATGGAGTGATGCAACTCATACAATCATGCGCGTTCGTATTTCAGGAGAAAGAAATGTAATTTCCCATTTCATTTATCATTTCCATTTAGCATATTTAGTCCCTGCTACAAAGGGGGCAGAAGATTACTGTGCAAATATCTTAGTCCAATATACCATCTTCGTAATGTAATCAAACGTAATGCAATAAATGCATACATAATTATTTGTTAAGTGCCATATTACAAAATATTTCATTCAACTGTCGTGAATAATCGTATTTCAAAAGTCAGAATGCGAATCGCATACATCTAATTGTTGCTAGGTAGGAACACATTATGGCTTGACCTAACAACAAGTAGTGTATGTATTAAAACCTTAGTATTAAAAAATAGGACTATCGAGATACTTACCGCAGCATTCAAGTATCTTTGATTTTGAATGTAGCCAAAGAAACGTGCTGAACTTTTTAGCGATGGTGAAGGTTGCATTTTCCATAGATTTAGAGGAGATTTTCTGTTTTGTAGCAGAGATAATAAGCATAAAGTACCGTAAGAAGCTCTAAGGGGTTTATGATGAATTTATTCCATCATCTTCAGTATAATATAGTGGGAGGGTTTCACTCAAGGAAGATGATTATAAGTAGAAAGAAGAACACGACATTTTTGTCGAGCTTGTGACCTCTTCTGTACTTACACATCCTGGTATAAGTACCCTTACTCTATTTATCACGGGTTAGACAGTATTCGTATCGAGAGCTTTGCTTTGAGGACATGTATGTTACCAGTGGCGTAGCCTGTGCCGTATCATTTAGGGGGAATTTACATTATTGCTGGAGTTGAGGGGGGGGGGGGGTACCGGTCTTCCTCGGTAGAAGAAAATGTCAACAAGAGAGAGGGTGTTCGAAGTGCCGTTACCATCTTCTTTCGACGTGCCGTTTCCCTTCACCCCTCTCTTCCCTTATTTTTGTTATCCCATTTTTGTCATTCGATGGGAGGGGGGGGGGGCACACCCCTTTCGCGGCTATGCCATTATAGATGATGATGAAGAAGGAAAATGAAAACACATCACAATGTCTGTTAATGAGTGTCCACGAAACATGTGAAATGAGATTAGAACGTGAAGGAAGGTTAAGAAAAATCGAAAATTCTGTTGAATGTGTATGTTCTTGGTCCACAAAATAGTTCCATTCAATGTGATGCAAAGTAACATTCCTATTTTGGGCCAAATCTACAAAAATGCATTTTGGCTGTTTCATACATAAGTCGAATGAAAACCACAAAAAAAGTTGACGGCAAATTTTATTTTCTTCAATGTTATGATTCATGCTGTCTAAAATAAAATATTAAATAAATAATCAGCTTCATCTTTATAGTCCAATGTTGGCGGAGGTTTTGATTAGAAACTGTCTCGCATTGGGCCTTCAAGTTGATTGTATACCTTCATCATGCGGCGGTGGGACCGCTTCCAAGTGTCTGCAAATCTTGAAATTCGCTCTTTAGATGGATTGGAGTGATGCTTTCGCGAAGTGATAGATGAAAAGAGCTGATAACCTTTTCCAGATTCCATTTCGGCTACCCGCTCTCGGCTTCTCAAGCGGCTAATAACTTGACTTCTTTTTCCCTTCTCCTTCGTCTTGCCAAGGATTTTGATCTACATTTTAACTTATTTTTCAATTTAAAAAGATATAGCCGCCAGGCTGTTATTACGCACATGATGAACCAATTTGCTATTCATGTGTTTATCGTGTCGCTTTTATATGTATGTAATTATAGTATGTTGTATATATAAGCGTAATATAATTATGTTTTTCAGTACACATCGCTATTTTTCTATCTAAAAGCAGAAAGTACTAGACATTTTATTTAAAATTGGTAAAGAAGGGTATGGATATGAGTGATGTATTTGCCTTGGTTAATGGATGTGTTGTTGTCATTAAAAACGCAATTAAAATGCAATTTGACACGTCAATTCAAACATCCATTGTAAGATGGTATTCAGGCTCACAAACAAAGCGTTATTTGCGAATCGTCTCAACTTCAACTTTGAATTTGAACTGGCGTAAATTTAACAAAATCGATTCGCCTATGAAAGAAATACGAATCATGGCTTCTTTATGCCTGTTTAATGAAATCACAATCTCAAACTGGAATGAAATATTAAGCATGAAGCAGATGGATTCGCATGGAGGCTGTGTATGTTTGCGATGTGGCAATGTGAGTGATCATTATTTAATCAGGTTCTGACATCGCTTATTCAAAATGTCTGAAGAAATAAATCTTAGCGACAATACGAGCCAGATTAGCAAAAGTGTTTCATTTGTCAGCCGATGAATTGGGTTGCGTAAAATCGTGACAAATATACATTTGTGTTCTTTTCTTGTTTAGACACCTTTTTCGTGGAATTAAAAAAAAAAATCAGATATAATCTTTTTAACATGATTATTCAATAAACTGGATTGTTGAATTGGTTGTGTCGTGTGTTGTGCAAAATTATGACAAACATCCATTCCCCACCCTTTTTTCTAGACACCTTTTTAGTTGACAAAACACCCGATTATTCACTGATCTTTCAATTTCCTTTGTTTATTACTATCGAAGTAGAGTTATATTACTCAAAACTTTTTATTTGGCGAGAAAGCAAATGGAGCACAGCTAGTCCCCTCTGTAAATGGAGATACCGGATCTTTTGTAAGGGTACTGCATTTCTGTCCACAATTTTGAAACGTGCTGGTAGTTATACTGTATTATTCTGGTTAATTTTTTGGCATACTGGCTGTAGCTGCTCCCTCCCAAATGCTGATCGATTATCAAATTTATTTCATGTAGTGATAATGATTTCATTTAAAAGTATCGGGGATTTGTTGTACTGGGGTCGTAAAGTCAATTCTATCCTCAATGACCATTTACTTGAGCGTATCTGGGCAGACACCTTAGGGCGCCAATCAATTTTCAGGAGAGGAGGAGGAAAACGTTTTGATCTGAAGTAAATACAGTTTAACGGTATACACATTGTGATGCAATATCAGGGGAGGGGGAGGAGGGGTGGGGG